GACCCGCTGCCTCTGGCTCTGGGGTCTGCTCAGAGGTGGGTCTGGCTGGTCCCCGTTCTGCCCCCGGGGGGGTGCAGGCAGGTCAGTGCTGTGGGTGAGGCTGGTGGTGGGGAGCGAGGTAGGGTCTGGGGCAGTTCCAAGGTGCCCAGGGCAGGTGGCTCCTCTGGACGGGGCGGGATGACGGGGCCTTGTGCACACGCAGGACATGAGGGTGCAAATTCGCACGCACGCTGGGGCAGGGGCGGAAGGGGCCTAGTGCAAGTAGCGCAGGCCTGACTGGTGCTCGGTCCAGCGCCCCTCGCAATGGGGGCTGGGCCAGGCCGGGCCCTGCGACTTGGAATGAGGCTCCTTGTGCTTCTCTCTCCACCTCCCCCAGCCTCGGCTGAATTCGCATCCGTCTGCAGCTTGTCTCTGCCGAGGTGGCTCTGGCCGGGGGTTTACACTGTGTGGCTCCGCATTGTCTCTGGATTTGTACTGGGTCTCCTTGCAAAAGTCCAGTCTCGTCAACTCCTCTGTCGAGTTCCTCCACCTTTCTCACTAGGCCCATCATGGCTGCGGCTGAGAAGGTTGTTGGGCTTTGATCCTTTCACCATGTGCACGGTGAATGCGCCGCCTTTGTCTCTGTAAGTTATCTCTGTGGTGAAGTGGCCCCTGCAGATCAGAAACCCTCCAGGGCTAGTCAGAGCTGGGCCAGGGGACGTCAGCTCTGGGAAGGTTGAAGGTGATTGTAAGTCCCCTATGAGAGCAATGTGACATCAGCTCCTGAGTCACTGTTAACGGTAATAGTCTTGCCAGGATGTCACAGAGTCACAGACCAGATGCTCTGGGACTGCTGTGTATGAATCCAGCCAGGACTCTGGGGCAGTGTCACTCCCCTCAGGGCACACAATCCAGGGCAAAAATCCTCCTCCGCTATGGCCTTCCTGGGTCTGACCTCGGAGCATTCAGCACCCCTGTCCTCACCGTGTGCATCCCGCAGCGGGTCTGCCCGGGCGGGGTCCTGGGGAAGCCAGAGGGCCCTGCACCCAACTCCGCAGTCAGACGTGACTCTCAGCCAGTGTAAAATGGAAGGTTCATTAGTCGACAGGAACACAGCTTGGAACAGAACTTGTTAGCACAGAAATCAGTGACTTTCAGCCAAGTCCCTCTGGGGGAACCCCGGGCCAGACGCCCTGGACTCCCCCTTCTCCGAATCCCCCACCGCAGACTGAACAGGACCCAGCTGCCTGGCCTCGGACATGCATGTTGCCCATCCTCTGATCTTTGTCTGGCTTCCCGGGCAAAGTGTCACCTGGTCCATCCCCCTCCTGGTTCTCAGGTGACGAAGGGCATCGGCCATTGCTTACGTGGAGGCAGCTGGGCAGCCTCACCTGCCCCCAAGGGCCACAGCAAAAGTCACACACCCTTATTCCCACCACCTAGGCATTGGTGCAGTACACTGGGAAACCGAGGCACACACAGTAGTCATACAAGATAGTAAGACTCACATACAACATAACAAGGGAAAACCTCACTTCGTCACATCAGAATATTCAGTTTCACTCTCCAGGCAGGCTCGGTGTCATCACAAGTGATAGATCCCAGAAACAACAGCTCTTGATTGCCAGTAATACCAGCCAGCTCCCTGACGGCTTTGGTGTGGGAAACAGCTGGAGAACGTCCATATTTCATGCGTTTATTACACTGTGTGCCTGTGGTTGGACATGCATCATCTCTTGGGACATGACTGTTTCCATCCCTTGTGCACATAAGCTGGAATTTGTCCCTTTTAGTCAGGGAAGTTCTCTCTCCTTTCCTCTGGGGTTTTTATGATAATGACCTTTTACAAGTGTCTGTTTACAGTTTCTAAGCTAGTTTCAGGTGTTTCAAGTCGCTCCTACCTTTTGTTCTGTTGTTGGACTAGTTCAGACTGCTTTGCTATCTGTACAGCTGTGGCTAGGTTTAAATCTCTGTTCAGCTGTCGCTGCTGTGAAAGGTTTTTATCCGTTAACACAGTAACCAGCCTGTCTCCGATATTGTCATGTTCTGCATCCCCAAATCAGTTTTCAGCCAATGCACGCAGAGCTCTTATAAAACGGTCAACATTTTCCCCTGCTCCTTGAATTCTCTGGTGAAAACACACTCTTTCATGGACCTCATTTCTCTGCAGTATAAAGTGCGCATCAAACACAGCCAGAACCCTTTCCTAGCCATCTTTGTGACTGTCTTCAGTAAAGTCAAAGGATTTAACTATCTGCTCTGCCTGCTTCCCCGTAGCACACATTAAAGTTGATACTGGTGTATCTCCGGTGTCTTTGTGGAGTTTGTTTGCAATTCAAACCCTTGCAAAATACTGATCTCAAAGCCGAAGTTCTCTGGGTCATTGGCGAGTGGCACGTTGATTAGATCCTGCAACGTTTGTTGCTTTGTTCCTTCTGTTCGCAACCTCGCTTGTTGTTTTCTTTCCATCTCTGGTCTGAGTTTACTCCTGACACCATGTTCGTCTGTGCCAGATACGGGCTGGCTACAGAGCTTCCTTTCCAGAGAGACCCACCAGATGTGTTGATCGTAAGATCTCTAATGCTCTGATAGGTAGGGCCCAGGTTAGCTTAGACAAGGTGTGTTACACTCAGCGCCCCCGAGTGGCTGATCGGTGTAATACAGTTCACGGCCCATTACACCTTCTGCCTCTGTCTCTAGGGGGCGCGCTGCGGGGCGGCTGGGCACAGACTGGCTGGTCCATGTATGTCCCCCCACGGATAACGGGGCTGAGAGGAGATTCCATTGTGCTGCCCTGCACCTTCGCACACCCGATCCCCGACTACACGGGTGACATCCAGGTGATCTGGAAGCCCGATATTTTCCAATGCATGGTGAGCAACAGCACCCAGACTGGCAGCTTCAATAACTGCACGACGGGGCAGGGGCCGAGTGGGCGCTACCGCCTGGCCGGGGACCCCCGACGGCACAACCTCTCCCTGCACATCGCAGGGCTGCGCTACAAGGACAGCAGACAGTACATGTGCCGCGTGGTGCTCCTTGAAGATCCGAAATGGGCCTTCGAGGACAAGACTGGGATAACGCTCAGCGTGGAAGGTACCGTGCCCAGGGTCAGGGGCTGAGCCCTCGGAGCCCGTCTAGGCAATCCCGGAGTCACGCACTCTCTGCCAGCCAGGGCCCTGCTGCTGGCCGCAGCCTGGTGCAGGCGGGGGAGGGATGTATGTGGTGCAGGGGGCCCTGGGCTCCGTTCGCTCCTAGAGCTGGGGCTGCTCCCCTCTGAGAATGGCCCCGTGCAGAGCCCCCATGGCCTGGAGCCATCCGCGGGCAGAGCACAGCATGGAGCTGTGTGAGGGCCCCACCCTCCTGTCCCCTGCCTGCTGTGGGGCCAGACCGGCAGCTTCCCTGGCACCTGCCCCCCGTGCCCCTGTGCTGCGTGCCCGGGCAGGGCCTGCCCAGGGGATTGCTCTCTGCCATGGCTCAGCCACCCTGGGAGGCCCAAGGCCTTTTCCCTGCCCCAGTGGGGGTGTCTCCGTAGTGCCCAGCCCCAAAGCAGATGGGGGGGGTGATCCCAGCCCCCCATGGGCTGCCTGCTCCCCCATCAGTGCCTCTTCTCCTCTCCCCACAGCGCGACCCAGCATCCTCAACCTCACGCTGCTCCCCGGGCCCCTCCCTGTGCGGGTGGCCTGCACGGCCGAGGGGATCCCCGTGCCCAACATCACATGGCTGGGGCCGGCGGGGATCGAGGTGGGGCAGCTGCAGGACACCCATGGGCTCTGGAACCAGACGACGCAGGTGGTGTCAGTGAGCCGGATCGGGACCTACACCTGCCGGGCGGAGAACGTGCATGGCCGGGCTGAGAGCTCGGTGCCCGTGGGGCCCACGGGGCCGCCCCTGCTGCTCATCATCATCCTCCCAGCAGCCCTGCTCCTGCTCACCGCCCTCCTGCTGCTCGTCCTCTGCTGCCGATGGAAAGGTAGGGGCGAGGCGCACCCGGGGCAGCCCCCGCCCGCCTGGCACTGCAGCAGCCCCCTCAGCGGGCCCGGGCCAGGGCAGGCGTCGGCTGGAGTGGCTGCAGCGAGGGCCTCAGCTCAGCGCCACCCCCAGAGCCCCCAGCAAACCAGGCCACTCTGCAGTGAAGCCCTCCCTCCGCCCCACGGTGCACTGCCCACGCAGGGCGACTCCCGGCAGCCCCGCCCACAGCGCAGAACCCGACGGGCGCTGCAGGTGCCTGGGGGCTGAGTGGGGAGGGGGTCCCGACGGCACTGCGGGGGTCCCAGGGCTGAGTGGGGAGGGGTCCCGATGGCGCTGCGGGGGTCCCAGGGCTGAGTGGGGAGGGGGTCCCGATGGGTGCTGCGGGGGTCCCAGGGCTGAGTGGGGAGGGGTCCCGACGGCTCTGCGGGGGTCCCAGGGCTGAGTGGGGAGGGGTCCCAATGGCGCTGCGGGGGTCCCAGGGCTGAGTGGGGAGGGGTTCCCGACGGCGCTGCGGGGGTCCCAGGGCTGAGTGGGGAGGGGTCCCGATGGGTGCTGCGGGCGTCCCAGGGCTGAGTGGGGAGGGGGTCCCGACGGCGCTGCGGGGTCCCAGGGCTGAGTGGGGAGGGGTCCCAATGGCGCTGCGGGGGTCCCAGGGCTGAGTGGGGAGGGGTCCCAATGGCGCTGCGGGGGTCCCAGGGCTGAGTGGGGAGGGGTTCCCGACGGCGCTGCGGGGGTCCCAGGGCTGAGTGGGGAGGGGTCCCGATGGGTGCTGCGGGCGTCCCAGGGCTGAGTGGGGAGGGGGTCCCGACGGCGCTGCGGGGTCCCAGGGCTGAGTGGGGAGGGGTCCCAATGGCGCTGTGGGGGTCCCAGGGCTGAGTGGGGAGGGGGTCCAGACGGGCGCTGTGGGGGTTCCAGGGCTGAGTGGGGAGGGAGTCCCGACGGGTGCTGTGGGGGTCCCAGGGCTGAGTGGGGAGGGGGTCCCGACGGCGCTGCGGGGGTCCCAGGGCTGAGTGGGGAGGGGTCCCGATGGCACTGCAGGGGTCCCAGGGCTGAGTGGGGAGGGGGTCCCGACGGGTGCTGTGGGAGTCCCAGGGCTGAGGTACGGGGCTCCCTCCCACAGCTACCCCCTGTGCCCCGGTGCTGTGGGGTGGGGGCAGATCCCTGGCACTGCCCCTTGCTCACAGCCATGTTTCCATGGCACCGGTCTCTGCAGTGCCGTGGGCTCCAGAACAGTGGGGTGGGCAGGGGGTGCAGGACGGGGCCCAGGCTGGCACCGGCACCATCTCTGACGTCTCCATCTTGTTCTCTTACAGGCCAGTGCCGGGTCCTGGGGAGGTGAGTGTCCTCACGGTGCCTGTGTGTGTCAGTGGGTGTGCAAGGGCCGCGGGTGTGTCTAGGCAGGTGTGTCCGTGGGCTGTGTCTTGGTCGGTGTCCGAGGACATAGTGTGCATAGTGGGTGGGTGTGCAAGGCCTGCATGTGTGTGCCTGGGCGGGTGTGTGAGAGCAGGGTGTGTGTGTGTGTGTGTGTGTGGGTGGGTCAGTGTGCAAGGGCAGGATTTGTGTCAATGGGGTTGTGTCTAGGTGGGTGTGTGAGGGCTGGGGGTGCATAGTAGGCAGGTGTGCAAGGCCTGGGAGAGAGTGTCAGGGGGTGGGTGTGCAAAGGCAGGGGCTGTGTCTGGGCAGGTGTGTCTAGACAAGTGTGTGAGGACAGGCTGTATGGAGTGTGTGTGTGTGAGGCCTGAGTGTGTGTCTCAGTGGGTGGGTGTGCTAGGACAGGGGGTGTCAGTAGGTGCCTGGGTCAGTGAGTGGTTGTGTGTGGGCACGTGCATATGGGTAGGTGTATCTGGGCAGGTGTATCTGGGCAGGCATGCAAGGGCAGGGTGCATGTCTGGGTGCCTGTGCGAGAGCAGAGCGTATCAGTGGATGTTTGTGTGTGTGTCTCGGCAGGTGTGCGAGGACAGGGGGTGTCAGCAGGTGTCTGTGTCAGTAGGTGGTTGTGTGTGGGAAGTGCATATTGGTAGGTGTGTCTGGGTGGGTATGTGAGGCCACGGTGTGTGTGTGGGCAGGTGTGCGAGGAAAGGGTGTGTATCTGGGTGCATGTGTGAGGACAGGGGGTATAAGTGGGTGGTTGTGTGTGTCTGGGTGGGTGTGCAAGGGCAGGTGTGTCTGGGTGGGTGTGCAAGAACAGAGGGTGTGTGTGTGTGTGTGTAAGGGAATAGTGTGTGTGTTCATGGGTGTGCGAGGGCAGGTTGTGTGTGAGAGCGGGTGTGTGAGGTCAGAGGGTGTCAAAGGGTGGTTGTGTGTGTCTGGGCGGGTATGCAGGGGCAGAGGGTGTGTCTGGGTGTAAGTGTAAGGGAAGGGTGTGAGTGTGAGCGGGTGTGTGAGGGCAGGGGGTGTCAATGGGTGGTTGTGTGTGTCTGGATGCATGGGTATGCAGGGGTAGAGGGTGTGTCTGGGTGGGCGTGCAAGGGCAAGGTGTGAGCGTGAGCGGGTGTGTGAGAACAGAGTGTGTGAGATTCATAGATTCATAGATTCTAGGACTGGAAGGGACCTCGAGAGGTCATCGAGTCCAGTCCCCTGCCCGCATGGCAGGACCAAATACTGTCTAGACCATCCCTGATAGACATTTATCTAAACTACTCTTAAATATCTCCAGAGATGGAGATTCCACAACCTCCCTAGGCAATTTATTCCAGTGTTTAACCACCCTGACAGTTAGGAACTTTTTCCTAATGTCCAACCTAGACCTCCCTTGCTGCAGTTTAAGCCCATTGCTTCTTGTTCTATCCTCAGAGGCTAAGGTGAACAAGTTTTCTCCCTCCTCCTTATGACACCCTTTTAGATACCTGAAAACTGCTATCATGTCCCCTCTCAGTCTTCTCTTTTCCAAACTAAACAAACCCAATTCTTTCAGCCTTCCTTCATAGGTCATGTTCTCAAGACCTTTAATCATTCTTGTTGCTCTTCTCTGGACCCTTTCCAATTTCTCCACATCTTTCTTGAAATGCGGTGCCCAGAACTGGACACAATACTCCAGCTGAGGCCTAACCAGCGCAGAGTAGAGCGAAGAATGACTTCTCGTGTCTTGCTCACAACACACCTGTTAATACATCCCAGAATCATGTTTGCTTTTTTTGCAACAGCATCACACTGTTAACTCATATTTAGCTTGTGGTCCACTATAACCCCTAGATCCCTTTCTGCCGTACTCCTTCCTAGACAGTCTCTTCCCATTCTGTATGTGTGAAACTGATTTTTTCTTCCTAAATGGAGCACTTTGCATTTGTCTTTGTTAAACTTCATCCTGTTTAACTCAGACCATTTCTCCAATTTGTCCAGATCATTTTGAATTATGACCCTGTCCTCCAAAGCAGTTGCAATCCCTCCCAGTTTGGTATCATCCGCAAACTTAATAATCGTACTTTCTATACCAATATCTAAGTTGTTAATGAAGATATTGAACAGCGCCGGTCCCAAAACAGACCCCTGCGGAACCCCACTCGTTATGCCTTTCCAGCAGGATTGGGAACCATTAATAACAACTCTCTGAGTACGGTTATCCAGCCAGTTATACCCACCTTATAGTAGCCCCATCTAAATTGTATTTGCCTAGTTTATCGATAAGAATATCATGCGAGACCGTATCAAATGCCTTACTAAAGTCTAGGTATACCACATCCACAGCTTCTCCCTTGTCCACAAGACTCGTTATCCTATCGAAGAAAGCTATCAGATTGGTTTGACATGATTTGTTCTTTACAAATCCATGCTGGCTGTTCCCTATCACCTTACCACCTTCCAAGTGTTTGCAGATGATTCCTTTAATTACTTGCTCCGTTATCTTCCCTGGCACAGAAGTTAAACTAACTGGTCTGTAGTTTCCTGGGTTGTTTTTATTTCCCTTTTTATAGATGGGCACTATATTTGCCCTTTTCCAGTCTTCTGGAATCTCTCCCGTCTCCCATGATTTTCCAAAGATAATAGCTAGAGGCTCAGATACCTCCTCTATTAGCTCCTTGAGTATTCTAGGATGCATTTCATCAGGCCCTGGTGACTTGCAGGCATCTAACTTTTCTAAGTGATTTTTAACTTGTTCTTTTTTTATTTTATCTGCTAAACCTACCCCCTTCCCATTAGCATTCACTAGGTTAGGCATTCCTTCAGACTTCTCGGTGAAGACCGAAACAAAGAAGTCATTAAGCATCTCTGCCATTTCCAAGTTTCCTGTTACTGTTTCTCCCTCTTCACTAAGCAGTGGGCCTACCCTCATAGACTTTAAGGTCAGAAGGGACCAATATGGTCATCTAGTCTGACCTCCCGCATGATGCAGGCCACAAAAACTGACCCCCCCACTTTCCCTTAACTCTGCTGTTGAAGTCCTGAGATCGTGATCTAAAGACTTCAAGTCGCAGAGAATCTTCCAGCTTGCGACCCCTGCCCTATGCTGCGGAGGAAGGCGAAAAACCTCCAGGGCCACTGCCAATCTACCCTGGAGGAAAATTCCTTCCCGACCCCAAATATGGCGATCAGCAGAACCCCGAGCATACAGGCAAGATTCTCTAGCCAGACCCTCATTTTACCAGCGATGGCTGTTATTGCCTAATTGATTAGAATCCCGTAATCCCATCAAACCATTCCCTCCATAAACTTATCTAGCCTAATCTTGAAGCCAGAGAGGTCTTTCGCCCCCACCGTTTCCCTCGGAAGGCTGTTCCAAAATTTCACCCCTCTGACGGTTAGAAACCTTCGTCTAATTTCAAGCCTAAATTTCCCCACGGCCAGTTTATATCCATTCGTTCTCGTGTCCACATTAGCACTGAGCTGAAATAATTCCTCTCCCTCCCTGGTATTTATCCCTTTGATATATTTAAAGAGAGCAATCATATCCCCCCTCAGCCTTCTTTTGGTTAGGCTGAACAAACCAAGCTCCTCGAGTCTCCTTTCATAGGAAAGGTTTTCCATTCCTCGGATCATCCTAGTTGCCCTTCTCTGCACCCGTTCCAGTTTCAGTTCATCCCTTTTAAACATAGGAGACCAGAACTGCACACAGTACTCCAAGTGAGGTCTCACCAGCGCTTTGTATAACGGAAGCAGCACCTCCCTGTCCCTACTAGAAATACCTCGCCTTATGCATCCCAAGATCGCATTAGCTTTTTTCACAGCCACGTCGCATTGCCGACTCATAGTCATCCTGCGATCAACCAGGACTCCGAGGTCCTTCTCCTCCTCAGTCACTTCTAACCTATGCGTCCCTAGCTTATAACTGAAATTCTTATTAGTCATCCCTAAATGCATCACCTTACACTTCTCACTATTAAATCTCATCCTATTACTATTACTCCAATTTACAAGGTCATCCAAGTCTCCCTGCAGAATATCCCGATCCTTCTCCGAGTTGGCAATGCCTCCCAACTTTGTGTCATCCGCAAACTTTATCAGCCCACTCCTACATTTGGTTCCGAGGTCAGTAATGAATAGATTAAATAAAATCGGACCCAGAACCGATCCTTGAGGAACCCCACTGGTGACCTCCCTCCAATCTGACAGTTCACCTTTCAGTACTACCCGCTGCAGTCTCCCCTTTAACCAGTTCCTTATCCACGTCTGGATTTTCCTATCGATCCCCATCTTATCCAATTTAACCAATAATTCCTCATGCGGAACTGTATCAAACGCTTTACTAAAATCGAGGTATATTAGATCCACCGCATTTCCTTTATCTAGAAGGTCTGTTACTTTCTCAAAGAAGGAGATCAGGTTGGTTTGGCACGACCTGCCTTTCGTAAACCCATGTTGTAATCTGTCCCAGTTGCCATTCACCTCCAGGTCCTTGACTACTTTCTCCTTCAAAATTTTTTCCAAGATCTTACATACTACAGAAGTTAAACTAACAGGCCTGTAGTTACCCGGGTCACTTTTTTTCCCCTTCTTGAAAATAGGAACCACATTAGCTATTCTCCAGTCCAACGGTACCACCCCCGAGTTTACAGATTCATTAAAAATTGTCCCCAAGGGGCTCGCAATTTCTCGCGCCAGTTCCTTCAATATTCTAGGATGAAGATCATCCGGTCCGCCCGATTTAGTCCCGTTTAGCTGGTCAAGTTTGGCTTCCACCTCTGATACTGTAATGTCTATCCCCCCTCCTACATTCCCCTCTGTCCTACTCCCTCTATTCCTAAACCCTTCATTAGCCTTATTAAAGACCGAAGCAAAATATTCATTTAGATATTGTGCCATGCCTAGATTATTCTTAATCTCCACTCCATCCACATTCTTCAGCGGTCCCACTTCCTCTTTCTTTGTTTTCTTCCTATTTATATGGCTATAAAACCTCTTACT